TACTGCTGCAGCAACTACTGCTGCTGCTGCTGCTGCTGCTGCTGCAGTGTCTCGATACAGCCCAACGCAGCAGAGGCTGCGCTGCCCCTCTGAGTTTTTCCTTTTGTCTCCTTCTTTATTATAAAGCATAAATAGAAGACATTGGCTGCGGCAGAAGCAGCGGCAACAGCAGCTGCAGCAGAAGCAACAGCACCGGCAGCATCAGCAGCAGCAGCAGCAGCAGCAGCAGCAGCAGGAGGCCGCCTACGAACAGAAGTCAAAATGGAGCAGCGCAGCAGAGTACCTGCTGCAGCAGATGCTGCAGCAGCAGCAGCAGCGTCTGCAGCAGGACGGGTGGCTCAGCAGCAGCAGCAGCAGCAGCAGCAACAGCAGCAGCAGCAGCGGAAGCCCAGGGTATACACAGCGAGTTCAGTGATGGGCCCTCCTGCTGCTGCTGCTGGGGGAATCCTTGGAGACATAGCGAGCAGCAGCAGCAGCAGCAGCAGCAGCAGCAGCAGCAACAGCAGCAGCAGCAGCAGCAGCGGCAGAAGACTGATGGGTCAGAGGTTCTACTGGGATGTTGACAAAGACGAAGTGACATTTGAAGGCAGCAACAGCAGCAGCAGCAGCAGCAGCAACAGCAGCAGCAGCAGCAGCAGCAGCAGCAGCATGTTTGCTTCTGGGGAGTTCACGCAGATCACCCAGAGGGAGGAAGAGGAGCCGCAGCCGCACCCCATGATAGGAGACATCATCGAGCGCAGCAGCAGCAGCAGCAGCAGCAGCAGCAGCAGCAGCAGAGTCAGCACACTTGCTGCAGGTAAGCCGCATCCTCCTTTCCCAAAGGCTGTTCATCGCAGTCTGCTGCAGCAGCAGCAGCAGCAGCAGCAGCAGGAGCAGCAGCAGTCTGAGTCTACCCGAGCAGCAACAGCAGCAGGAGCAGGAGATGCAGCAGCAGCATCAGCAGCAGCAGCAGTAGGAGCAAAAGTAGCAGCAGAAGCAGCAGAAGCAGCAAGACAACTGGGTATTGATGCTGCTGAGGTGCAGCAGGCGCTGCAGCAGCTCAAAGATAAAATAGGCCCCCACAAATTCGCCTTCTTACAACGCCGCGCAGAAGAGAGGCTGCAGCAGCAGCTGCAGCAGCAGCAGCAGCAGCAGCAGCAGCAGCAGCAGAAGTCTGCAGCCGTCGGGAACGGGACAAACGCACAGCAGCAGCAGCAGCAGCAGCAACAGCAGCAGCAGCAACAGCAGCAGCAGAAACAGCAGCAGCAAGATCCTTCTGTTGCTGACGAAGAAAATACCTTCTTGCGATACCAAATTACGCTGCAGCGGACTGGAGCAGCAGCAGCAGCAGCAGACTCAAGAGCAGCAGCAGCAGCAACAGCAGCAGCAGCAGCAGATGGAGCTGCATGCCCCGCGTTTATCTTTGATTCGCGTGAAGCAGCAAAGCTGCAGTGGACCGACCCGCTGCCTGCGGAGGATCCTGCTGCTGCTGCTGCTGCTGCTGCTCTGCAGCAGCAGCAGCAGCAGGAGGAGCAGCAGCAGCAGCAATTTGCGGCTGCAGCAGGTTTCCCACTAGTGCAGCAGCAGCAGCAGCAGCAGCAGCAGCNGCAGCAGCAGCAGCAGCAGCAGCAGCAGCTAGCTGCGCTGCGCTTCGATTTCAATGGGCGTCTCCGCACAGACAGCTGGGGGCTGCAAGCAGCAGCTGCTGCAGTTGTCTCCTTTTGGCAGCAGCTGCTGCTGCAGCAAGACAGGGAGCGAACCAATGGTCCAGCAGCAGCAGCAGCAGCAGCAGGAGTGGAGATGATTACTGCTGCTGCTGCTGCTGCAGCGGAGGAAGCTGGTGTGGGGTCTTGGCTAACGGCATCCGGTGCAGCAGCAGCAGCAACAGCAGCAGAAGCAGCAGCAGCAGCAGCAGCAAACCATCTTGCATACTATAAAGGCCTTCATCACCACGGCAAGCAGCCCGAAGCAGCTGGCTATACACCTGAGGAGCTGCTGCTGCTGGCTCACAGCGCAGCAGCAGCACAGAGGGCCTTGGCTGTACGTACACTGGCGCAGCTGCTGCTAGCAGCAAGAGCTTTCTGCTGTCTCCCCAACGACCCCTCAACAGCAGCAGCAGCAGCAGCAGCAGCAGCTGCTGCTGCTGCTGCTGCTGCAACAACAAAACCAAAAAAGCTCGACGCAGAGTCGGGGGCATTTGCTGCTTTCCGGCAGCTCTTGTCTCCCCTCTTGCGTCAGCAGCAGCAGCCGCAGCAGCAGCAGCAACAGCAGCAGCAACAGCAGCAGCAGCAGCAGCAGCAGCAGCAGGTAGCGACGCTAAGAGCAGGCTTTGGGTTTGGTTTGGGTCGCTTCCTGCGTTTTCTGCTGCTGGATCAGCAGCTGCTGTTTCGTCTGTGTGGCTGTCTCATGTCGGAGTCTGCTGCTGTTGCTGCAGCAGCAGCAGCAGCAGCAGCAAACGTCTGGCTGCCTGTACACCCCACAAGGCGGTTAGGCCCACTGAAGCAGCAGAGACTGCTGCAGCTGCAGCAGCAAGAGGAACAAGCAGCACCTGATGCTGCTGCTGCTGCTGTGCTGCACATACCAGCAGCAGACACAAACGTCTGCTGCACCCTCGTTAGGCCCTACCGCGCCCATCTCCACCAACAAACCAAAACAGCAGCAGCAGCAGCAGCAGCAGCAGGTGGTGCTGCTGCTGCAGGTGTGTGTATGTGTTTGCTTGGTGCTTCTGATTCTGTTGCTGCTGAGGAGGAGCCGTCGCTGTTTCCTTTGGGGGGCGTAGACATCCTGGGGTGTACATACACCCCAAACCCTCTATGGCCTGCTGCAGCAGGTGCAGCAGCAGCAGATGCTCGCGTTTGTCTTGGTGCTGGCAGCGCGTGGGCTGCTCTTGCTGCTCGCTGGGACGACCTGCTGCTGCCGCAGCAGCAGCA